ACAACAAGTTTTCCATATGGATTGTAAGGATAAGTTTTCCGCAAAGTTTTAAAATAAAAGAAAAATGGTTTTGATTTTATTTATTTTAAATATCCTTACAATGGCATTTGTGAAAAAGGTTGTTGCTTATATGTTTCCATTGATAAGCAATATGGGTAAATGGATTTGATTCTTCTATTAGTGGTAGTGTCATAATTTACCAAATAAGGAAAGATTCTCATCACCCAAGTTTCAGTTGGATATATACTTGGAATCATGCAACTTGTATTGTGTGATGAATGAGAAGTGCTCATCTTTAGGAAATTAAGACTAATTTCTTGTTCACATTCGCATGTGAGTCAAGCAAAAGACTAAGAGATTGGGTACAGTTGGTTGTGTGCTGGTCAGGTCCACCACAAAGGTTGATAAGATTATTCATTATGATTTACTAAAGTTTAGTAAATATGGTTATGCTTACAAGTTTAAGTGTAGTTCTGAAACATTGGAAAAGTTTCAATGTATGGCAGAATGAATAAGAAGAATCAAATAAGGCAGAAAGATAAAAGTTTCTCCAATATGAAGAGATGGGAGAGTAGTTGTGTATTTTGTTTTATGATTATCTTAGTGAATATGAAACCATATCACATTTGATCCTCTAAGGACACCTTAGTTCATTTGTTTGGCTAAGGAGAGGAATCATGAGTTGTTGAAATGGTTAAATCAAAAGATAAATCATACATCCAAATCAAATCTTAGAGTCGTACTCCAAGATTGAGCCATTGAGCGACATAATCTTTAGAAAGTTTATAACACTTATCAAATGTAGAGTAAGATGTGTCCTACTCTTGTACATTTGAGGGTTGTTAGTTGTTATGTTTTGGATAAAACAAAGACAAACTAAGTCCAATTATGGGAAGTGTTTAAATTGATAAGAATCTCCACTAACTATTGAATATTTATTTTGTCAAGGAATGGTTGTTGACAAAGAGAATCATATAGGTCAAGAGGTCAGTAGGAGTCTTAAAAAGATCTTAAGATGGATTCAAGAACTAATCAAGAGTTTTGTTAATCACTAGCCCACGACTTGAGGTTTGTAACCTATCGTGTTGACATATTCTGTGCACATCCCAGTTAAGATTGGCTTTGCATTGGAGTTTTAAGAGTTCTCGACTGTTTGCATAACAACCTGGAAGCAATGGTAGGCCCTTGTGCTTCCGGGTGGCAAGAAGTTAAGATTGCACAAGTTCAGTCCATATGAATTTGGAAGTGTCACTAACCTAGTCCTGTGATTATGGTTTTGACAAAATTCACATGGAAAAGAACAAATACACCATAAAATCTAAGTGTCATAAGGTTTCTTTTCGATTCATGAAAATGATGGTAAGGAAACGCTTCCACTAAGAAGATTTTAAGTAGATAGCGGTTGTGATATTTGCATTCTCATATAGTTAGCGGAGCGTGTGTGGTCAACCGGCACACTAACTAGTGAGAATTGCTAAAGGTCTAGAAAAACATGTGAGCTATCTAAGGAAAGGTGTATAATTTTGAGAAAGTCTTATCAAAGCAATCTAGTATCAGAAATATGAAATTTGGTAAGAAAGTCAATAAAGTATTGATTTCTAGAAGTCCAGTTGATTTCTGAGTACATGTCAAAGCTAGTGGGAGCATAAAGTGTTATGCTAGTAATCATTATGCTAGTGGGAGCATGATGATTATGTTAAATATTTCAAGTTAGCAATGTTAATTATAGAAAACCAAACTTTCAATTTGCTTTGAAAAGTTGTTTGCTATAATTAAGGGAGAGGATTTTATACTTCACTCCAATTCTACAAGCTTAGATTAAGAATTTAATCTACTTTAGTCAAGAATATATATGAATGTTATGCCGGAATGGTTCAACATAAGGAAATTCTATATATGTTGCGTTCTCAAAACTCGATTATGATTACGGCATACCTCTTCATAGTTCGAATTGTGAGAACATGGAAAATAAAAATTTTATAGCATGAATCATGTCCCATATGCTTCGGATATTGGATCGACTGCATGTGCTATAATATTCATCCATTCTAAAATTTCCAAATGCCTAGGGCTTTAAGATGGAAAAGGAGTAGAACTAGAAATGACTAAAATGATTAAGCAAAATTGTCGAGGACAATCTGAGGTTTACCAAAGATTGGTTGCTGATGGACAATTAGAAGTATAGAGTAAGGACCATATTGACATATTTTGAAAAGAGGCAACTCTTGTTCAGAAGTGATGATCAAAATGGTAATATGGAATTGTCTCCATAGGTGGAAGTTATTCTGTGAATCTGTGTAAGATTAAAGAACTTAATGCTAAGAAGGATGTTCAAAAGAATGTACTTTGAATTTTAGACTTCATTTCCATGGAATTGTTTTCAATTGGAATGCTTTGTAATGTCTGTTGCCAAGTCTTTGTGACTTCTGTGCATAGTCATTACAAGGGGATCATTGCATATAAGTTTAGAATCTAACAGATTACAGTAAATGGCAAGAGTTTGGTATTCTTGCATTTACAACAAGGATTGGAATTGTGAAATGAGCATCATTGGAATATTGTCAATTGATCTATTTCACAAAGAGAGGACCATATGTAAACACAGTATGCATACTTGGAGTATGGCATAATTGTTGTTTGGAAAACCATAGTGTACATGCTTTGAGCATAGGACAACTAATGTTTTAATTCAAGCATAAAGTTGATTAATCGAAACATAAATAATGAGTAATCAATATGATGCTTAAATAAAAGGTGTTTTTATTTACACTAAAAGTGTTGGGGCCATATAAGATTAGTATTATTCTTGTGTTTCACTTTGCATGTTTTGACTTCCAGAATAGTTATGTTATGGTTTATATCATATTATTCAAACCATCCACAGTCAGTCATATGTTGGAAGTAGATATGAATCAAGACTGTCATTAATTTGGCTTGTATGATTTGTCTAAAGTGATTTAGACAATGCAATGGTTGCTACAACATTCATGAGTACTCATAAGGGTTGGGTATTGTATGCAACCCACGCTCACTTGCATCACTTCATGGAATTTATCTCGAGTGATCATGAGATGGTAATATCATATAAATCTTCAAACCTAGAGATATGAGTTGTTGACTATGAGTTGGTTATTCATTGATTGTACGAAAACGCGTTGGTAACTCGATGTTATAAAACGTGCCTTTGTGAATAATTCAACAAGTAGTTAGTACAAGCACATCAGTCGAAGTTTATTTGTTCCTTCTAGAGATACAAGTGATATCTGGGCCCCTCGATGATTTGGTTTTGACCTACGTGCCGGGCCCAATCAGAACCTAATTGATGTGTTCAATTTAGTTCTATGTCGAAACAAAATTAGAGATCGAGAAACAAATGCTGGACAATAAGTAAGACCATGTTCCATGTGTTTGTCCGGCTGATATCATGAGAACAGAGGATTATATGATCACTTATCTTCAATGGTGTATCATCATCATCTCAGTTTCGAGAGACTTTGAAAGAGCTACGATTTCTAGTCGGATTTTGAAGTCATATTTACAAATATAGTTATTAGACTTATCCAAGTGGGAGACTGTTGGATATAGTGTCTAAGTCCATAACTTTATTTGGTATGTACTTGACCCGACCCGGCATGGTCCATTTGGGTTGCATGGCATTGCAATACTTGGATAGACAAAATGAGAGAATAAGGCACTTATGATTATTAATATATTATAAGTTCTAAATTATTAATAATTGTATTATTTAATTAGTATTGATCAAGTATTAATCTAGTATTAATTTGGTGATCAAAGTGAGACTAATTAAATATATAGGGTTGATTATGACAATCATCAATTCTTTTATGGTAGATTAATGATCCATGGTTTATGGGTTTGGTTATAACCATATGGAGCTCCATGGATAGTCCATGGGAGTTACAAACCCATGGTCATGAGAAGTGAAGAGTCATGACAATTAGGGTTTACGTTTGTAACTCCTAATTATGACACACTATAAAAGAAACCCTATAGCATGCAAAATCAGCACTAGTGTATTCATAAGAGGCCGTAACCGATTTTTGAGGTTAAGTGACATTCTCTCAAGTTATTCCAAGTTTGTAGTGTTGTGTGAAGCATTTGAGGCACAACATTTAGGGTGCTAGGCTCACAAAGTCTTGAAGGAATCCAAGCAACAACAAGGTATATATTTCTACTAGTTTTTATGTTTTATGTAATCCCCATGCCATGCTAGTTAGGAAATAACCTTGAAAAAGAAATTTGCATGTATATAGAAAAAACATAGATTCAAGGTTATTAGGGTTGCATGTACACTTAGGAAGTGTTAGAATGCTCAAAACCCATCAAAAACCACCTTCAAGATGCAGATCTTCTTGCAAGTTTTCTAAGAACCCTTTCCAGTTGTCTTTATTTTCAACACAAACTACATCCCAAGCTATTGGGTATATATGATTGTTACCATCCCCACTAACATCACATAATAATTGACCAATACACATTCCTTTTAGAAAACACCCGTCTAAGTTTATTATCCCTCTACAGCCACTTCTCCAACCCTTCTTTAGTGCATGAAAACATATATATATATATATATATATATATATATATATATATATATATATATATATATATATCCTGCTAAAGTAAGTTTTCCTATCTGGCATAGAGTTCACAGACAACTTGAATGTTGACCCCGGATTAGATCTTTTTTATCTCTTCACCATAGGACCACAACTTTGCATAATTTTCCACTAAGGTACCTTCAACAAGAGACATTGCATGTTGCTTAGCTCTCCTACATTGTCCCATACTAACCTCTATGCCAAAGTTATTCTTTACTTCCTCTTTTAACATCCTAACATTGAATTTCTGATTCTCAAGCACTTCCCGGGTGAAATGACTACCAATACATATATAATTAACAATTGACCCTAATTTAAAATTTCTTGCACAATTGTGGTCAATGATAAGGGACTTCATCTGGAAAGACTACTCCTCACTCATCCATGACGCCCAAAGCCTAAATATGCATTGACCATTACTACACTTAACCAATAACTTTTTATTGTCGTTTTTTCAAAGTACAATTGATATCCATTTGCTAGAGCATAATTACAAATCACAAATTTTAATTGTTGAGGGTTGGTGAACCTAGAATTGGAAACTGCTTCTTCCAAGTATGTCTTCATAAACATCATTCTTCCTTTCACATCTGGGACATTATCATCTTCATCATCTTTTTGATCACCTTCTGTGGCTTCCTCATTTCCATTACCCTGAATTACTCCTTCATAGGTTATTCCTTCCATGTTGATTTCTTCTGAACTCTTAATTTCAGTTAGGTCAATACCTTCTTCCCCTTCGACTGACATGTTTGACTTGACAGAACAATTATCCTCATTTTCATTTTCATTTGCCTTCATTACATGCACAGTAGTACCAGAATGGTCCATGTAAATAAAAACTTGTACACCACATTGATAAGTAATGTCTATAAATTCTTGATATTCACGTTCATTCGAAATCAAGGTTAAACCTTCTGGGATTTGTAAATCGGGTTGACAATAATAAACTTTCTCACACTTCTCTTGTGTGCATCGTTCAAGAAAACCCACAAACTCATTAAATGACATACCAACAAAAACGACATTCTCGAACACATGATGAACACCATCAGAATAGCAAAAAGGTTTGTTGATGAACACACCTTAGAAATGAACTTTGATTGACAGGAATATATCCATCAATCTTCAGTTACTATGGTGATACGACGAGGGTTTTCTTCAATGATGAGGGGTTTCTTCAATGAGGGGGAGGGGATTGTATAATGCACACGGTTTACTTTATAAAAAATTAATAAAAGCACAACACATGTGGCCATTTCATTAAATGACATGTCACCGACATTTTCACTCGTGGCATGTATATTACCTATCAACCCGGTAGAAGGTAACATAAGCGTATTTTAAAATAGAGAAATGAAAGTATATTTCTTTAATGTGCAAAAAAAAAAGTTTGGGGACCTTTTAAAACAAACACGAAAAGTTTGATGGGCTAATATGATATTTTCCCTAGTAATTATGCTAGTGGGGGCATAATTAATTATGATGAGTGTTGCAAGTTAGCAATGTTAATTATTGAAAACAAAACTTTCAATTGGGAAAAAGTTGTTTTGCTATAATTAAGGGAGATGAAATTGTACCTCATTTCAATTTTAAAAGCTTAGATTGAGATTTTAATCATCTTTAGTCAAGGATATATATGTGAATTTTATGTTGGAATGGTTCAACATAAGGAAATTCTATATATATTGCGTTCTCAAAATTCAATTATGATTATGGCATCTCTCTTCATAGTCGAATGATGAAAACATGGAAAATAAAAAGTATTGTAGCAAAAGGCTGGTCTAGGATCATGTCTTTATGTGAGACATCATGAATCGTGTCCCATATGCCCCAAGTATAGGATCGATTACATGTGCTATAATATTCATCCGTTCTAAATTTTCCAAATGCCTAGGGCATTAAGAGGGAAACGACTAGAACCGGATATGACTAAAATGATTAAGCAATTGTTGAGGACAATCTGAGGTTTACCAAAGATTGGTTGCTCATAGAAAATTGGAAGTATAGTGTTAATTTTGAAAGGACCATATTGACATATTATGAAAAGAAGCAACTTTTGTTCAGAAGTGATAGACAAAATGGGAATGAGGAAATGTTTCCATAGGTGAAAGGTATTCATTAAATCTGTGTAAGATTAGAAAAACTTAATGCAAGAAGGATGTTCAAAGAAATGTACTTTGAATTTGAGACTTCGTTTTCATGGAATTGATCTCTATTGGAATACTCTGTAAATGTCTGTTGCCAAGTCTTTGTGACTTTTGTGCACAATCATTACAAGAGAATCAATGCATATAAGTTTAGAATCTAACAAATTTCAGTAAATGGTAAAGAATCTTGTATTCCTACATTTGTGGTAAGGATTTGGGATTGTGAAATGAGCATCATTGGAATCATGTTCAATTGGTCTATTTCACAAAGTAAGGATCATAGACAAACATAGTGTGCATACTTAGAGTATGACATAACTATTGTTTGGACAAACATAGTGTGCATACTTGGAGCATGGAATGACTATTGTTTCAGTTCAAGTATTAAGTTGATTATTCGAAACATTATACTATGAATAATGTGTAATCAATATGGTGATAAATAAAAGGTGTTTTATTTATATTCATAAGTTCTGAGGCCATATTGGATTCGATTATTCTTGTATTTTCACCTTGCATGTTTTGACTTCCCGAATAACTAGGTTATTCAAACTCTCCACAGTCAATCATACTTTGGAAGTAGGTATGAATCAAGACTGTCATGAATTAGGCTTGTACATGTCTAAAGTGTTTAGACATAGCAAAAGTTGCTGCAACATTCATGAGTGCTCCTGGAATGAGATTCGAGTATTGGATCAAACCCATGCTCATTTGAATCACTTCATGGATTTTATCACAAGTGATCATGAGACAATAATATCTTATATTCTTCAAACAAAGACATGTGAGCTGTAATTGCACGTTAGTTTCACATTAACATATGTAAACGCAACCAGTAACTTGGTTGTTATAAAACATATCGTTGTGTGTAATTTGATGAGTAAGTAGAAGCAAACAGTTGGGTCGAAGTTTATGCATTCCTTTTACCCTTGGAGGGATAAAAGCGTTATATGTGGGCCCCTCGATGATTTAGTGATGACACCCCTAAGTGTTTGGCCAAGCCTGGACTGATTAGATTTGTTCAATAAGCCAATCATCATAAATCAGTAATCGGGAAACAACAAATGGACAGAGAGAATGATTATAATCCATGTCTCAGTCCATATGATATCTAGAATGGAGGAATACATCATCCCTTATCTAATGGACACATCATTTGACTAAGTTAGAGTTCGGTAGCAGCTTTAAGAGCTACGATTGCTAGTCGGGATCTTGGAGTCATACTTGAATAATAGTTTTAGACTTATCCAAGTGGGAGACTGTTGGATTAGATGTCTAAGCCCATAACTATTATTGGTATGTACTCGACCCGAGAGTAGCATGGTCCATTTGGGTTGCACTTCACCAGAACAATTTGTATGGATAGTCTTTTGAGAATAGTATGTCGATGATTTATTAATATATTCTAAGTTATAGTATATTAATATGAAATCATATTATTTAATTAGAATTGATCAAGAATTAATTTAGTGATAAAAAAGGAACTAATTAAATATTGACTCTTATATATATATATATATATATATATATATATATATATATATATATATATATATATATATATATATATATATATATATATATATATATATATATATATATAGAATGGGCTAAGTTCATTTAGGATGAGCTAAGCTTGCATGGATAGTCCATGGAGTTTTTAACCCATAGATCCTATAGAAATGAAAGGTCATGGGTATTAGGGTTTTTACATGAATGTAACCCTAATCCTCCATACTATATAAAGAGGTCTTTGGCACATGAAATGGCATTAGTGTGTGAGTGAATAAGAGTGGGCCGATTTCTAGTGTGATTACTATTCTCTCAAGTTTTCCAAGGTGTTTTGGTGATTTGTGATTCCACTTGAGGCATCCACATTATTGGTGTTAGGCTCTTGAAGTTCCAAGGAATCAACTACAAGAAAAAGGTATGTCATCCCACTAAGTTTTATATTACCAATACCCCATAGTATGTTAGTTAGGATGAGAACCTTAGAAAAATCATATTTGCATGTATAATAGAGATAACATAGATCCAAGGTTTCTACGGTCTCATGCACACCATAGGAGTGTTAGAATTATCAAAACCCTTTAGTTTGCACCTGTGATTAAGGTACAACAGCTTGCTAGGGAGTTCCAGGATCTCCAGAAGATGATTGAGATGGTGACTGAGATCACCACCATGTTGAGGGAGAGGTCCCTTCTCGTTCCGCAGTACGTGGCAGACTAGGAGATGAAAAAGGCTCGAAACCATGAGATGTTGCGGAGTGATATCCGCCAGTTTTTGAGCCAATCCAGCTGCAATACACTGGAAGATATGATTACGAGGGTGAGAGAGAGAGAGAGAGAGCGAGTTGGATTTGGAGTTGGAGAAGAAAAGGAAACCATAGGGGGTTCAGTCAGGGAGGGGGGGGGGAAGAAGCCCAAGGTATCAGATCACCGATTGAGAAGCCAGCAGGGTCGCAGCCACCATGGCAAGTGCGAGAAGTTACATGAGGGGATGTGTAGGGTGGGTAGTTCCGCATGCTGTAAGTGTGGCCGAATTGGTCATGTTAGCAGGGCTTGTACTACTACCACCACCACCACAATATCAGACCTTATTTGCTTCCAGTGCAATTAGATGGGACACAAGCGGTCACAGTGCTCAACTTTATCAACAACAGGACAGGTGGTGGCTCTCGCTACTGCTACATTAAGGATTACCGATGGCCGTTAGGTCCGGTCAGAGGCGAATGTGGCGAAGAGTAGAGCCTTTTAGCTGACAGCAGAGGAGGCACGTTCAGCTCTCGATGTGGTGACGGGTATGTATCTTCTCTTTATATCTTTATATATATATATATATATATATATATATATATATATATATTGTTGCTTATGTTTATGTGTTTCATTATAGGATCGTTCCTTGTGAATGGTATGTCTGCTCTAGTATTATTCAATTCGGGGGATACCTAATCTTCTGTATCGCTCGCGCTCAGCAGGCAATTTGTGGGAGCTCCAGGGGAGCTGGACTGTCCACTTGATGTAGAGATAGCGAATGATAAGACCATTCGGGTTGCGAGGGTTCATCGAGGATGTACACTGCAGTTGTTTGATGAGCCGTTTTTCGTATATTTAGTCCCTATTCCCCTGCGAGGGAATAAGGTTATAGTGGGTATGGACCGGTTGAGCCCCAATGGGGAAGTGATCGACTGCGAGCATCAGCTAGTACGAGTTCGAACCCCAAATGGGGGAGGGTTAGTGATCCAGGGTGAGAGGCCGCAACATGGGCTGACTTTGTGTTCAGGAGCGAGAGCTAGGTGCTACCTTCAACAATGTTGCGCAGGTTATGTCGCCTATGTTATGGATACCTGAGATAAGGTTAAGGCGACAATGCATGATGTATCGATCGTACGGGAGTTCCCAGACGTGGTCCCAGAAGATTTGTCTAGGTAGAGTTCAGGATTGACCTTGTCCCTGGTGCGGCTCCGATAGCCAATGTACCATATCGGTTGGTTCCTCCCGAGATGCATGAGTTATTTACACAACTGCAATAGTTGTTAGACAAGGGATTTATCAGGGTGAGCAGTTTGCAATGGAGAGTCATGATCCTGTTTGTAAAGAAGAAGGATGGGTCACATCGGATGTGTATAGATTACCGGGAGCTGAATAATGTAATGGTGAAGAACCTTTATCCGCTCCC